GAGGCGGCCTTGCGGTAAGTGAAATGCAGATTAAATGTAGAGCCACAAACTGATCCTAACTGACATTTCCCACTCCCCCCTTGTAGCGAGCGGCGTGCCGAGTTTGAGAAGCTGCTGGCCCAGGAGAAGCGCACAATGGATGGCTTCCGCATTCGGGAAATACGCGATGTCCTCACGCTGGAGGAGCTCAAGGAGCGGGTGGATACGGTCGATATGCTCTTCACGACCATTGAGGTGAGTCCCAGGAGTAACTATCAGAGCTCAGGCCTAAGCCTTGTGTGTTTGTTCTTTTAGAATCTAAGCCGCGAGGCAAAGGCCATCAATGTGGAGGAGTCGCTGCTGCAAATTGATGTCTCCGCCTTCCCACTGCTGGCGGAGATCATTGAGAAAATGGAACCAATTGAGAAACTGTGGAAGACATCGTACGAATTCGAAAAGGATTATCTCATTTGGTAAGCCCTGGCCACATTTAAGTCCATTGCAATTATACTTTGCACATCAGCAACAAAAACAAAACAAAAAGGGGAGCTAGAAACTCCCATTTCCATTTGGCATTGCACTGTACGCAAATCCCCAATGCCCAAGCGTCATTCCCAGACACCAACACAATTCCAATGCCAATTCCTATACCAATTCCTATTGCTACTTCTATTCCTATTCCTATTCCTATTCCTATTCCTATGGCAAATGCCAGCAGCAAAGTTGAGTTCAAGTGCGGCGGAAAAGTAGTACGATTTTGAGCTACGACGAGTAGCCAGCCAAAGGGACACAGAGCCATAGCTTATGATGTTGCCAATCCTCTGCTGCTCCAACTCCCACTCCCACTCCCACTCCTCCTTCTATTTCTATGCTTTTTTTTTGCTTGCACTTCTATTTACATCTCTTCGGTTGTGTCCTTGCAGGATGTTCGAGCGCTTCGAATGCCTTAATGCGGATGGCGTGCGGGAGCAAGTGGAGAATATGCACAAGGTAAGTAGTTGCAAGTCGGAAGTTGTGCCAGAGAGAGATAGAGAGTCATTGCCAGAAGCTGGCGGAAATAAAAACGAGCAACGACCGACAAAGTTTGAGCTGTTGTCGGATTTCTGTTGCTGCTGCTCTGACTCTGACTCTGAGTCTGAGTCCCTCAATCCTCTGTAGCTTCTCTGTGTGTCTCTCTTTGTGTCCATCAGTACATCTGTCCGTCTGTAAGCCAATGTAGCAACTAAAATGCAACTAAAAACCTCAAGCCACCTCGGGCGACAGCAGCAATAGTGCCACCAACTAGCCAGTGAGCCAACAGCCAGGCAGGCAGGCAGGCAGCCACTGAAAAAAGAGAAAGAAACTTCCAGTTGGCAGCCGAAAAGTATGCAAGCAAAAAATGCCCAACATATTTGGCGGCTGCTTCGGAAGCCAAGTCCCACGACTGGCACGAGGATTGAGCTGGGTTTGGGCTGTGTTGTCCCTGTGTCCCTCTGGGGTCAGCAGGACTGGTACAAAAAAAAGACCGACCTGCCACAAAGGGCCAAAAGGAAAGTCAGTTGAATTGAATTTTTCGGCACAGCTGAAGCGGCAAAGTGGGAGACACCAGAGACCCCTAAAAAAATCCGAGAAAAAAGAGAAAACCCTCAAAATACCCTCATTGAGAAGCTCTTTAAAAGCAACCTCTCTTATGGCCATCACTCCTGTTTATCCATCCATTATCTATGTACTTATCCCTACATCCTGCCTGATGTTTCCTGCCACAGATTATGTACAAGTTGTCCCGCCAGTTGGCCTACAATCCGGTGGCCAAGCGAGCCGCCGAACAGATGCGCATGAAAATCGAAAAGTTTCGCGTCTATTTGCCCGTCTTGGATTCGATTTGTCGGCATGGACTGGAGAAGCGGCACTGGGAGCAGATATCCAAGATACTGGGACGCAAAGTGAATCCAAAGCTGTTCCCCTCGCTCAAGGACATGATCGATGTGGACATTATGAGCATACTGCCGCAGCTGGAGGAGATTGCCAATGCGGCGGGCAAGGAGTACGACCTGAACATGGGCCTGAAGAACATGCAATCGGACTGGCGGGATGTCATGTTCGATGTGCTGCAGTACCGCGACTCGGATACGCACATCCTCGCGAGCATCGATGACATACAGACGCTGCTGGATGATCACATAATGCGCACCCAGGCCATGAAGCGTTCGCCGTTCATTGTGGCCCTGGGCTCCAAGGCGGACGACTGGGAGGCCCGACTGCTGCTCATCCAGAACATTATTGATGCTTGGACGCAGGTGCAGGTTACGTGGATGTATCTGGAGCCCATATTCAGCTCGGAGGATATCATGCGACAGATGCCGCTCGAGGGACGCAACTTCAAGGCTGTGGACAAGACCTGGCGGCGCATCATGAAGCATACGATGAAGGACCGTCATGTAATGGCAGCCACCGAGTACCCCGAGATGCTGGAGATCTTCACCAAGGCCATTGAGGATCTGGAGACGGTGCAGAAGGGCCTCAACACGTACCTCGAGCAGAAGCGTTTGTTCTTTGCTCGCTTCTTCTTTCTGTCCAACGATGAACTGCTGGAAATCCTCTCCGAAACGAAGGATCCCATGCGCGTGCAGCCGCATCTGAGAAAGTGCTTCGAGGGGGTGAGGCTTATCCCGGTTTTCCTTTGCGTTTTGGTCTCCTTTTTGATGATTTTCCTTCTATAGATTGGCACTCTCACCTTTGATGACCAAATGGAGATCACGGCGATGATTAGCGACGAGGATGAACGCGTTTCTTTGGTGCGCAAAATCAATCCCCAAGCGGCCAATGTAAGACAGCTCTGCCTTCTGCCTTTGCTGATGGTTTTCCTTTTTGACCCACACTGATGACTGTTGCATTTGCAGGGCTTGGTCGAGATCTGGCTGAAGGAGGTGGAGGTGGTGATGCTCGAGAGCGTCAAGGAGAAAATGCGCGAGGCCTGGGAGGACTATTCATTGGTGGAACGCATTGCCTGGGTCGTCGCCTGGCCCGGACAGGTGGTGCAGGGCATTTCCTGCATGGCCTGGACCTATGAGGTGAGGCAGGAGCTGGAGCAGGGGCTGATTCCCTTTTGCTACAAAAACCGCGATAACCACAAGGGCCTCATCTCGGGGCAGCAAACAAATGTCCATCAGTTGGCTGTCAGACGAGAGCGCCGTCTCTCAGTGGCTCTGACAGTGAGATTAGCCCATGGTCCCGAGGTCTCAGTCTCAGTCTCAGTTCCCAGCCCAAACGACGCCTTCCCTGCCTGCCTGCGCTTTGCCCTTGCCGTTTGTGAGGCATTTCCCTTTTGGGCTTTGACTTTGAGAGAAGTTTTCTCGCGCTCGCTCTGCCAGCGAAATTGAAAATCATATTTTGCCTTTTTATTTGCCTTCGCTGTTCAGTTTCTCATACACTTTATGCCCCGTGTTTTCAACCAGGTGGAGGAGGCCATCGAGACGACGATGCTGCCGGCTTATTTGGAGAAATCCAATGGCCAGATTGCCGACCTGGTGCAGCTGGTGCGCACGGATCTGCAGGCAGGTGTACGCATAGCAGTGGAGGCGTTGATTGTCCTCGATGTTCATGGTAAGTTTGGGGGGGTGGGGATTTTGGCGAGCGACTTCATCTTCTGTGTTGTGCAGCACGCGATGTGGTCAAATATCTAACGGATACGAAGGTGGCCAATATACAGGACTTTGATTGGATCTCGCAGCTGCGCTACTACTGGAAGGTCGATGAGAGTGAGTGGACACACTTTGGACCCTTGTATTGTGTCCCATAAATCATCTCCCTTTGCCATAGAAAACGAGGATTGGGTGTGCGTTAGCATGGTCGTCACAGATGTTAAATATGGCATGGAATATCTGGGGAATCTGCCACGACTGGTGGTCACTCCACTAACAGATCGCTGCTACCGGTGGGTACTAGTCTCTCCCTGTCTCTACCTCTCCCTCTCACCCTCCCTCTTCATGGGCATATTCCAAACTATTAATTGACAAACCGTTGGAGAAACAGCTGTGCTGCTGCCCCCTCTCTAAAAGTCAGCTACGTTTATTGGAAAAATATTTCTTTTATTTCGTTGCATTTTAAATTTATTTTCATTTTGCACAAACATAAAACAAATCAAAAAACAAACAAAAAATACGCAAAAAAGGAGCTGAGCTGAAAACCTTTTTGATGTTTAAGCTGGCTACCGTAGACGACAAACACACACACAAAATAATAATACTACCAACAATAACCAGGCGGCGGGGGCCTGGAAGAGAGAAGAGAATCTGGGCTCCAGCAGGACACACAGGCTGGCTGTAGGCCAGGCCAGGCCAGGCCAGTCCAGGCCGTGCTGTGCCCGTCGCTGGCAAGCTGGCAAGCTGGCAGAAAGGACATTTTAATGGGGTTTCCGATAAAACTTTTATATTAAACAAATAAATCAATGTTGGACAGTTTTTCACACAAACACAACAGCTCACACACTCGCATGTATCGATAGTTAAAAAACGGAATGGGTAGAGGGAGTAAAAAAGAGACAAACAAAAAAATTGAAACCGAGTATATAGATACTTCGCATGGCTATGGCCGGAAAAAGCTAAAAAATATATGTCCTGTGCACAGGCTCAGTTCGGGCGGGTAGAGGAGGGGCATCCTGCCAATATGATAAAAATATGAACTGAAATATGAAAGCAAAACAAGCAGCAGAAAGTAGCAGAAAGCAGCTACAGAAATTTATGAAAATATGTATATGTAATCCATGGGAATGGGGCGCGGGTCTCGAGGCTGGGAATGCCCTAGAAAATGTGTCAAAGCAAACAAAAACATTTTGTAGATAGTCATGGAAGCGTGGGTGGAAGCGAAATTAACAAGTTTATGATTCGAGTTTAATATTCGGCATATAAAGAGTAAAAGTATTCATCTGTCAGTGCCTAGAGTTGGGCAAATAATTCATGACGGAATACATGTGCATAGATAGGAGCTTTATATAGAGACGAAAGATGAATGATAAAATAGTAAATTGATTGGTAATGACTTACCGATAGATTAAAGATAAGAAGAGGATGTCCGAGAGATCAAATTATATCTGAAAAGACACAGAGAACTGTAGATTAATATAAAAACGTTTCAGTAATGTTTTAATTGGGTAAACAAAGTATTTTAAGTTAGATTAAATATCAATTTATCTTTGGTTGGTGCATTAATTTCAATTCTAATTTAATTTAAGCAAGAAAAACTTCACCAGGAGGATTATTAGTTTACATTAAAGACTGCAATCCACTGTGGAAACTTATCATAGGAGCCCCTCAACATTTTCACTTTATTTTCCATTTGCCAATATTCCACCTTTATGGCCAAAGCCTCTAAGCAAACACCATGGCCCAATCCGTATACCCCATGTTAAGCTATAATTCCCAGCGATTCCTGCTAGCTGGGCGAAGCAATGGTAGGGGAGGCTAACAAATAGCCATAAATGACAATTTTTTAAGCTGCTTCTGCATCCGCCTGCCCGTGAGAAATGTGAAAAAATGCAAAATAGATATTAAAAGCATGCAGCACGGCAGCCAGTACTCCCTGTCATATTTTTCCCTATTGCTACTGTTACCTACTAAAACCTTTACTATTTTTTAATTCCCTGCTTTTGTGTGTGTGTGTGTTTTCCAGCACTTTGATGGGCGCCCTCAAGCTGTGCCTGGGCGGTGCGCCCGAGGGCCCTGCCGGCACGGGCAAAACCGAAACCTGCAAGGATCTGGCCAAGGCTGTGGCCAAGAAGTGTGTGGTCTTCAATTGCTCCGATGGTCTGGACTACAAGGCGCTGGGCAAGTTCTTCAAGGTGAGTGTAGCTACCAAAATAGCAACAGAAAAGGTTTCCCTATGAACAACAGCGTCGCGCTGTCTGCTCCATTGCTTTGCTTGGCTTTCTAATTGATGACCGAACAGAGAATCAAGAGTCAAGAGCATTAATCAGGCAAAGAACTCGTCTAGATGCGGCGGCACACACACGCAACAACAATCCAAGAGCACTCATACGAATAGATGTGAATGTGAATGCGAGTGTGGGCAAGTCGGTTAATTTGCCACACGCTGAGTTCTTCATGTCAGACACAGTGGAGCCGCCGACTAGGCTTCCCTTTCCCCACAAACACAGACAGTTTCCGAGTGTGGATGTGTGTGTGTGTGTTTATTGAAATTTATGCAGCATACGGGATAATCGCATTTGGCCGGACCGTTGACTAATTAGCCAGTTTGTGAAAGTAATGGGCAGGCAGGCCAGGCATGCCCTGCCTGGACTTTCGTGCAGCTCCCACTTAAGGTTTATGCAAATTTTTATTTACAGGTCGTTAACCGAGAGCAGCCCAGCCCCCCTATGCCCTCACGCACATCTTAAGTGGGTGCCGAAATCTTGTAGTAAAATGTATATATATAGGCCATAATCGCTTAATACGCTCTCTCACACGGCTAATTGCATAATCGTTTTAAGCCACGCTCAAAGTAGGGGATGAGGAGTGTGCGGTGTGGGAAAGACATCGTAGATCAAGCAAACTTTAGACTCATTTGCATGGGATTTCTATTATAAATCGCGAGAGAGGAGAGAGGAGTGCAGAGAGGAGCAGCATCTACTTTTTGGTGCCAGCCGCCAGTCAACTTTGTCTGTCGTTAGGGAGCCCATAAATTGGGTTCTCAGTTCTCGATTCTCAATTTAGAATTAATGAATTTATGCGATTGACTTTGGAGCGTTTAACATTTGTTTTTTCTATTTTATTGCTTAATTTGGATTCGAATGATGCGAAATAATAATTGCCATCCCCTGCCATCTAGTCTAGGTTTAGAAAGTCGTTTTGCTCTCTGTGTAGAGTGTGTGGCGTGTGGCGTGTGGCGTGTCGTGTGTGTGTCACCAACTGGACTGGATGATGTTTGTCATTATTTTGTTCTAATCATCTATAGGAAGTATTACTGCCAGTTCTCCACACTTCCAGTCTCTGACGGAACAGACAGACAGACAGTCTTTTCCTTTGTTGCCATGCCATGCTCTGTCGTTCCATTTCATTCCTGGGAATTTCTCTCTCTCTCTTTCTTGAGGGGGCAGGGGGGTAGCAACAATGTTGCGACAATAAAATAATTTGCAATTGACAGAATATTCGAAATATGCCAAAGCAATTTCTGCATCTTTGTGCTACACAGTCGGAGAGTGCGGGCGAGTGAGGGAGAGAAAAGTAATCGTAAATAAATTAAATGCAAATAAAATGGCCACAACAATGGCAGCAAACTGTAGAGTACGCCATGCCTGTGTGGATGCCATGCGGCATGCACAATGCCACGCGGCAAACAAAAGGCGCATCCAATGGATTGCAAAAAGTTATCGCAGCTGCAGAAGCAGAAGCACAACCAGGAGCTAGGAGCCAGGAGCAGGACCGTTGGTTTAGTTGCCAATGCCGCCAAACCACTCTGAATAGCGTTCAAAGTGTGCGCTGTGCCACTTTTTGTTGTTGTTGTTTCTTTGCTCTTTGCCACGGCATTCACTCGCGTTCTGCTCCACGGTTCTTCGTTTGTTCCTCTGGACAAACAAAGTCCTAACACAACAACAGCTACTCCAACACTAGAACCAACACCAATGCAGCGGGCAGAGGCGCTAATTGTACAATAGCCGCATGCCAAGCATCCAGTAGAGCGAACCAACGACGAGTGCCAGCGACAACACAGTCACTGGAAAAAGCGTGCGAACGCGCAATAGAATGTAAACTAGCTGCCAAGGAGGCGAAAGGCCAATAGAGCAGACCCCCACCATTCGTTCTGCTCCTTTCGGGCACACAGCATCTGCACTCAGAGCGGTGTTTGAGTGTGTTATTGTTGCTCAAAAGTACATCAAAACATACACAAAGAAATCATGTACATATGTATGCATCTACATTAACTAATTGCAACTTATAATTTATTATCCGCATGCAATGCTCTAATTTCTTGCAAATAATTAAGCTCTTAGCTCTTGTAAAAGTAAATGTTAAATGAATTGGAAACCCTTAGAGCGAGCGAAAACAATTGTACAAGTTTTCCAATTGTTAGTGCTGTAAATAGCTACAATGTAGATGTCGAAATGTGGTACATTCGATACTCGTTAAAAAAAATCAAACAAAAAGCAATATGTTTGCTCCCCCTTGCCTGTTGCTGGCACCATAGATTTCCCCCTAATTAAGCGAAACTCAAACCTTTTTTTCTTCAATTAACCATGCAATATCAGTGGCCTGGCTTTGGTTTAGGCCGGAGGCAACTCAAAGAGACCTTTCACATGCAGTTTCACCAATACATTTGGAAGAGTCCAGCACAGGTCATAGCTTTCCCCCACCCCCTTTAACCAATGGCCATGCTCTGTTGCCGATTCCGATTCAGGGTCCAGCCATATGGCACTTGCAGTCAGGTCAGTTCTCTGCACTGGGTATAAAACAGCATATTTATTGCAACATGCAAAAAGGAAGGCATATCAAAGGGCTCCCACCTTTGGCCCCCGGACCTGCACCGTTACAGAGAGAACACTGAAACCAGAAACCCGAGTCCGAGTGCCATGCGAAAGAGAAAATAATGTTTATGCTGCTATTTGCTTTTTCCACGAGTGTTTCGACGAGTGTGTGTGTGTGTTCCAGTGTGTGTCCAGGAATTTCTGTTTCTATTTGTGTTCCCTTTTTTGCACCCAGCTCTGGTTCTGTTTCTGGTTCTGTTTCTGCATCCTCATTTATGGCGTTGTTTCCTTTTTTGCAGGGACTGGCACAATCGGGCGCCTGGGCCTGCTTCGACGAGTTCAATCGCATTGAGCTGGAAGTGCTGTCGGTGGTGGCGCAACAGATCCTAACCATACAGCGGGCCATCGGACGCAAGGTTGTGAAATTCTTTTTCGAGGATACAATGCTCAAACTGGATCCGACTTGTTCCATATTCATAACCATGAATCCCGGGTGAGTGCATGGGCAGGGGGGCATGTTGTCTGCTGTCGAGGCAACAGCAGCTGCGGTTTCACGCATCGCATTTTTTCCACACGTTTTCCTTCTTCGTTTTGGGTGTTTTGGTGGGTGCATTTGAAAATGCATTTAGTTACTTTGTAAGCCCTACACCCCACACCCCTTCATGTAGGGCCTACACAGATGGACACAGAGAAGGAGCCCGAGCAGGCACTGGTGGCAGCTCTCTCTCTCTCTCTCTCTCTCGCTCTGTGTGTGACGTGGACAGGGCTATTAGCCAGCCGCTGGGCCACTGGGCAACCGGTGGAAAGTGGAGCATACGGGAGAGGGAAGGGTAGGAGGGGGTGTTGTCTCTGTGCGTTCCGATATTGGTAGTTATTGCGTTATTGGAGATTTTCCCATCGGGATATTTATTGCTTTGGCATATGCATGCGGAACAGCTGCGACAAACATGCATATTAGCCCTCGAGTTTCAGTTTCCAGCAACTCCTGCTGCTGCTCCTGCCACTCCTCCCTCTCTCTCTCTCACTCTGTCTATCCATAACTGATTGTGCCATTCAGCGTAGGTCTTAATTTCGATTGGACGTCGCTTTTGCTTTTGCCTTTGCCCATTGCCAGCAGGAAGGCAGGCAGAAAGCTTTCTTTCCTTCTTCTTTCCCTCTTTGGGTTTCTTTTTCTGCTGCCTTCCTTCCTGCCTGCCAATTTGTCACGCAACCAGACGTTCTTAAGGGCAGTCACTCATATTGCTTATTGGCGGCACTGTGGGCTCCTCCTGTGCTTGGTATTTATGCCATTAGCACTTGCACTTTGATGAATTTGATTTGCCCAATGCCCAATGCCCAACCCAATCTAATCCCTACCCTTTTGCAGCTACGCCGGTCGCACAGAGCTGCCGGACAATCTGAAAGTTCTGTTCCGCACGGTGGCCATGATGGTGCCCGACTATGCCATGATCGGTGAGATCACTCTGTACTCCAATGGCTTTGACATGGCACGCAATCTATCGCAGAAGATCGTCCAAGCCTACAAGCTGTGCTCGGAGCAGCTATCATCGCAGTCCCACTACGATTACGGTGAGTACCGGGAGGAGTACGACGAGAAGCAATTATTTCAGAACTGACAGCATCCGGGCTGCCTGCCGCCTGCTGCCTTCACCTGGCTAATAAGGCGCAAAAGTAGTCAACAACACGTGTTCTTTTCTCTCCCCGGAGTAGAGAAGTTTTCTTTGCTTTTGCCTTCCCAGTCGGACGGGTGGAGGAGGAGGAGGAGGAGGAGGCCAACAACTTTCCGGTTGTCTCATGTCCTGCTTGGTGCGTGTTTTTTCCTTGGGCTCTAGCTTGGGCAAAAGATATTGCTCCTTTTACGACGTAACATGTCATATGACATTACAACATGTCTGTGCTTGCCACTCTACGTCTCTGTGTGTGTCTCTGTCTCTCTCTGTCTGTTGTCTACGACTCCCTTCCGTATCCGTATCCGTATCCGTATCTATGTGCATCTTTGTCCAGCCGCTGGCTTGCAGCAATTGCAGGCAGTCTGACTGCCTCTCCCTCCCCTCTCTCTTCTGTCTCCCTGTGCAGCTGTGTGCAAGTTTATGTGCAAAGTACATTTGATCAGTATCTTATTTTGAGTTTAAATTGAAAAACTTTCTTGCAAGTTTTGCTGCTGCGCTTTTGTGCATCGTGCATCGTGTGTGAGAGACAAATGTGGCATACACACACACTCACACTCACACACATACTTGTACACATGTTTGTTGGCCTTTCTTCCTTCCAACAGTAATAATAAAAACTATTTGTACACTTACCCTGCGAGTCCTACGTCGTTTCCTGCTCCTCCTCCTCCTCCTCCTTTGCCCTACTGCCCAGCTGTTTTTGCAACGTTGCAAAAGTTTAGCATTTCCCTGGCGCGTATAATGAAGCTTCGGCCACAGCCAGGAGCCAGGAACCAGGAGGGGAACGGCAGACAGGCACGGCGACGCCATCCAACGCCAGCAAATACCTGAAACGTAGCCGAGACGAAGCTGAGTTATGCGCTCGCATAAATGCCAAGCTAATGCCCATCACCCTCCATTCCCTCGCCCCTCCCTACAGTTATAGTACTTACCTCTCCCCTCCATGTCCGTGTCCATCTATCGACAGGTATGCGCGCCGTCAAGTCCGTGCTGCTGGCCTCCGCATCCCTGCGACGCCTCTACGTGGATCTGCCCGAGCCGGAGATTGTTTTGCGTGCCATTGTTGATGTCAATTTGCCGAAATTCCTCGAGCAGGATATTTCCCTCTTCATTGGCATCTACATGGATCTCTTTCCAGGCGTCACACTGCCCATGGTAAGCGCTTCTTGCTTCATTTTTCAGGTTTAATGAGCTGCAAGCGATGCCAATTAATGCGATAAACGGTAATTAATTATATATATAGAGAGTGGAGTAGAGAAAGGGTTACTCGTACCTGTATCTACCCGATGATCGATTGTTAAATACGCTTGGGAGAGTGTGGAGAGGTTTGCTTTGTGTTTCCATGTGCCATGAAGAACATCTGCCAAAAGGTTGCTGAAAGTATAAAGAAAACTTTGAGCTTAGCATTCTAGGAATGAAAGAAGTAGAATGGTAGAAATATAAACTAGATAAAATAGATCTAAACGTTAGTCTTCCTGCTCCTAAATTGGGCATAAACGAACACCAATCAATTGAGTTTTCAACCAGCTATGACACGGGGAACTTAAACAAGTTTACGCACAGAAAATATCCCAGAAAAGTAAAGTTCCACCTTTAAGAATGCACAAATTACACTTTATTTATTATGTTATTTTTGGCAAGTTTTCTTCATATTTCATTTTATCCATTCCCTCGTGCATCGTGTGGGATAGCCGCAACGCGACGATATACTCAAGTGGCTGCACATCAACCTGGAGGCGAGGAATCTGCAGGCGACACCCTGGTATTTGGAGAAAATTCTGCAGATATACGAGATGCTGCTGGTGCGGCACGGCCTCATGATAGTCGGTGGCTCGATGGGTGGCAAGACCACCGCCTACCAGGTAAGAGCTGGGCACCATGGACCGTGGAGCATGGCTGAAAATATTTCAGCCGTACGTTTATTAATTTCACCGGCCAGCCAATTAAATGGCCTGGAATTAATGAGTCAACAAACGACTCAATCTCGGCTACAGCTACAGCTACAGCTCCTTCTCCGTCCTTTAGATGCTGGCTTTGACGCTGAAAAATGTGTCGGCGGATGATGAGGCAACATTGCGCGAGTATCCGGTAGTGTTTCGCATCATCAACCCCAAGGCCATCACCATGGGCCAGCTGTACGGCCGCTTCGATCCCATCTCGCACGAATGGTCCGACGGTGTGCTGGCCAAGACATTCCGCGAGCAGGTCCAGGGCCCACGCAACGAGCGTGCCTGGGTCATGTTCGATGGTCCCGTGGATGCGGTGTGGATTGAGAATCTCAACACGGTGCTGGACGACAACAAGAAGCTCTGCCTCATGTCCGGCGAGATCATGCAGATGACAAAGCTGATGAACATGATGTTCGAGCCCGCGGATCTGGAGCAGGCCTCACCCGCCACAGTCTCCCGCTGCGGCATGATCTACATGGAACCATCGCAGCTCGGCTGGCGCGCCTTTCACAAGAGCTTCTCGAATATCCTCGTGAAAATTGTGGGCCTCAACGAGATCTACATGACGCTCTTCGAGGACATGGTCGAGTGGCTGATACCCGCCGCCCTGGACTTTCTGCCGCAGTGCAAACAAATGCTGGAGCTGTCGCCGATGTATCAGTACCAGACATTCTCCCGCTTCTTTCTGCACTTCCTCGACAAGCACAAAGTGTTCACGCAGGTGTGGTTCCAGCAGATGTTCCTCTTCTGCTATGCCTGGGCCTACTGTTCGGCGTTGACGGGCGCCGGGCAGCGCACCTTTGACGCGCTCCTTCGCAAGGTGATCTACGGCTCCAGCGAGGAGTATCCCAAGCCCAAGTACTTCTCATTGAATCGCGGCCAGATGTTCCCCGAGAAGCTACTGTTCCTCGACTACCGCTTCGACGAGGCCGAGAACTGGTGGACGTGGCAAAAGTCCACGGATGATCCCTCTTCCGCGATTCACAACTTTCCCGATGAGTCGCAAATCAGCGAACTGATTGTCCCCACCAAGGAGACGGGCTACATCTCCTACTGGCAGGACTTTTGCATCTCCAAATCGTACGGCATGATGGTCATTGGACCCACGGGCACGGGCAAGAGTGCCATTATCACCAGCAACCTGCTGGCCCTGCCCAAATTCGCGAACATGGTGAACATTATCAACTTTTCGGCTCGCACCTCGGCACAAATGGTGCAGGATACAATCATGAGCAAGCTGGACAGACGCCGCAAGGGTGTTTATGGGCCATCGCTGGGCAAGAAGGTAGCTAAGGGATCTCTCAATTGTATATATTATTATATCTGTAAATCTCTGGTGTCTCTAGTGCACAGTTTTCTGCGATGATGTGGCCATGCCCTCGAAGGATACGTATGGCTCACAGCCGCCGCTGGAGCTGCTGCGCACCTGGCTGGATCATGGCTATTGGTCGGATCTGGTGGACACCACAAAAATCGAACTGGTGGACATGGTGTGTAGTCCATAAACTGTCCATAAGTTATCTGTGAAAACATCACAGTTCATCCACATTCACATCTTTCACTTTATCCCACACAGACTCTGATGTGCGCCATGGGCACTCTGGGTGGCAGCAACTTCATTTTTCCGCGTCTCTATCGCCACATGTTCGTGGTGGCTGTCGATTCCTTTGAGGACTCGACCATCGTTCGCATATTCACGGCAATTGGTGATTGGCATTTCGCCAAGGGCTATCCCGACAAGGTGGCACTGCTCTCCCGTGTATGTATCAGCGCTGCCCACAGCCCTTCCCTCTGCTTTCCTCTACAAAAACAACAGCAACCGCACAGCACACACACAGATATGAAGGCGGCGGATGATTGTCTGGTCTGGTCTGGTCTGGTTGGGGTCTGTTCTGGTCACTGGAGTCAATGGAGTTCGTGTTTGGCTCGCATCCAAGCGATGGGCGCATAATAAAATTAAAATGGCGTATTTTATAGCTTCATTTCCCGCCGCTCCTCCCAAACAAAAAAAAAAAGAGGAACTCTGGCCTGTCTGTGCCTGTGCTGTGGCTGTTATTTTTATTGAGGATGTGTGTAACCCTTTTTATTTGTCTGTTGCAGGGTTTGGCCGAGGCAATGGTCAGCGTTTATCGCGAGGCAATACGCACCCTGCTGCCCACACCAGCCAAGTCCCACTACTCGTTCTCGCTGCGCGACATCACGCGTGTCTTCCAAGGCATCGTCATGGTGCCCGCCAAGCGGATGCCCGACCCGGAGAAGCTCGGACGCCTGTGGGCCCATGAAACTTATCGCGTATTTTATGACCGGTGAGTGTCGGCTCCTCTCTCTGTCTGTCTGGCATTTACATATATGACATTTACGTTTCAGTTTGGTGGATCAACGGGATAGGGATCGACTGCTTATCATGGCCATTGATGCCTGCAAGACGTGTCTGCGCTTCCCCCTGGAGCAGGCCTTTGCGGAACGCATCGAACCGGGGGAGAAGCTGAGTGACAATGATATACGAAATCTGTTCTACGGCAACTACATGGAACCGGATGCCGAGCCAAAGTTCTACGATGAGGGCGAGAGCTACGAGAAGCTGGAGAAGCTCATGAAGTACTATCTGCGGGAGTACAACTCCTTTTCGAGCACGCGTATGGATTTGGTCATGTTTCGCTTTGCCATTGAGCATGTGAGCAGGTAAAAGGCAGGCCCTTTCATGCATTCCCTTTAGTTAACCAAGGGAAATCTCTCTCTGTAGGGTTTCCCGTGTGCTGCAAATGCCGCGTGGCAACATTCTGATGGTGGGAATGGGCGGTTCGGGGCGTCGCAGCTCCTGTCGCTTGGCCGCCTACATTGCCGACTGCCGCCTGATGACGGTGCAGGTGTCCAAGAGCTATACGATTACCGACTGGCGGGATGATCTCAAGAAGATACTCATGTCGGCCAGCTTCAATCTGAATCACACCGTTTTCCTCTTCTCCGACGCTCAGGTGAGTGACAGATAGAGATCTCCCTACCTCCACTTGGTTTATGGGTTTTGTACGCTGTTGTTATGCTAATACGCCATCAGAATGGCTATTTAATAAGGTTGTAAATCGTAGATAGCTTTAATCGAAACCTCCAGGGCGGAGGGAACAACAAACCCATAAACCCACAGACTCTGTGCTGCCTTTAGAATGTGTTACACTTAGAGAAAAATTGCTAAGTAAAGAGAAAAGCTTGCAAAACTCAATTAAACATTCATAGAAATTAAAAAATATTATTCTTTAAATTATATAAAATATAATTGAATTTTTAAAGAAGTATAATTAACTTAAAAATGATTTAAATAGCATTGAAATAGTATTTAAATATAATTAAAATATGATTTCAATTTATTTTTGGATATTGAAAAATTAATTTTTTTTAGATTTTAAATATTAATTAAATTTTAATTTCAAAACCAAGCTTCCCTCTCTCGTCTCTCAGTGCTTAGCTTTTTTCTTCAAGTGCATGTAAATTGATAAATTAAATTGAAATTAATTCGAATTTGAATATTCTTGGAAATAAAACAGATTTTACACACACACACACAGCAAACGAAGTCAGAGATGAACTGTCTTGCATGTGGAATAAATCAACAATTGAATGTCGACTCGAATCCGTTTTCAATACGGAAGCTTCACAGCAGAGCAGCAACAGCAGCAGCAGCCAGCACTCATTGTTTTAGCCAGAATTTGCATTTATAATTAGGTTAATTGTTCAACTAACTTGATTATTGCACAGTAATTTGCATAGGCAGGCAGTAGTCGGTAGGCAGTAGGCCTAACAGCACCAAATACCAGCCAACAGACAAACCAAATTATGGCAAATCAAGAGAAGGCTTCAGAGAGCAGCAGCAGCACAGGTTTAAATGGGGGGCTTAAATCCAAATTAAATGTGGGCCAATAAATTAGCATGGTCAAAAATAAACTCTATCGAATGTGGCAAACAATAATGCAGGTGCTTACACATTTATTGTTATACAGTTTATCAGTTCAATTCGGATTCGATCCTTTGTGTTTTTCTGTGGCACCATTTGACCGTGAAGCGTGACCGAAACTATATTGTTGTATCCCCCACATAGGAAGCCATTGGGGCGGATTAAAACTGCCTCTTAATTGTGTGTTGTTGTGTGTGTTTTTTCCACAGCTAAGCCCCCCGAAACACAAACACACACAATAGTCAATCGAGTATCGAGTGTCGAGACTACTGTAGACATTCATTGGCCGGCCGCTCGCTCGGGGGCCCAAGAAATCGTTGCCAAGGAATTAGGATTGTTTTTCCTGCCTGCCTGTATTGCAATCAATGATTTATCTCTGGCCTGGCCTGGACTGGTCTGGTCTCTGGTCCGCATGCAGATATTAATTAACAATTACACCCCGAAATGACCAACCAGAGAGAGAGAGAGTGAGTGAGAGCCA